TGATGACATTTCAGAGTGCAAGTCGCTGTTTCGTGCAGTTTTAACCCAAATTTGGTGTAAAATAGTTGGTATTTCATCATGAGGTGCTCATTGATCTAGCTCTGTTGTCTCTACAACAACTGCACTGGATATCTCACTTAAAACTGTCCGATCATTAATCTTCAGAGAACACAAAGCATGGATAATCTCAACACTGTAATTCCACAGAGAAATCCCAACACAACCAATGGCATTCCCAAACCCGAATCATTTCTCATTCGAGGTGTGGCATGTTGGGTAATGAGACCAATCATCTGTGGTCAAACTGTGATATTAATAAGCTTTCGCTCGACTGGACTCAGAAGCTGCGTGATTACCTGTCACGTTTCATTTGTCGATTGTAAAAACGCTACATGACTTGCTACGTTGCTACGTATATGTTATTTATTTATCTTTCACTGCGGTTGGAGGATTTGGAGGACGCTTTTACATCTGACATCCTACTTAATAGATTCACTGAACTGATTCAATTATTGTCACTGTATCATCGGCCTCGTTTACGACTGCCTCGTGAGAATGGCATAAATCAGTGTCGCCTGACCCGAGGTGTAAAGAAACCCAAGAAACGGTGGCGGTACCAAAATACACCCTGGGTTTATATGAGACGTGCTGCTGAGATATCACATCTTTATTCGTAAAGCTCAAATCGGCTCACTATTATCTTTTAATTACCACAACCCAATATCGGGCCCTATTATAGGCAGATATTTAGTCACGTATAATGGTGCAATAGGATATTGTGATTGGGGCAGAAAGGAGGAATGGCTGTGTGAAGGGCCAGCGAGTGGAGATGAAACCATGGGGTAAATTCACTGCTCTTCCATCATGAATTCGGCTGCTCACGTTTGTAAGGCCAGATTCATGTTTACTCGTTTAAAGCAACAGTTCAACCCAAAATAGAAATATTGTTGTCATTTACTCAGCCTTATGTTGATCCAAACTCATACGACCTTCCTCAGAAAGAGAAATGAATGCCATGCTTGTCCATATATTGAAAGTGATTGGGCACTGTAAACCAGACAAACAAACGCCATACAATATCATACTATGACTTTCATATGAATTCATACAATATTGTGTGGAGCACAGATAGTCATTGTTCTTCTTATCCAACCTGGAAAGTTCTACAAAAGTTGAACATTTGGTTCTCGCCTGTTAATTCCTGTTAGTTCAGCTCCAGCATAGGTGAAGATTTTAATATTCCTCATTTTTTGATGAACTTTGTCTTTAAATAATGTACCTTTCTCACGAGTAAACAGGCACCCAGGTGGAACTGGAGCCAAAATGATTGCGGATGTTACTATATTTAAATCGATTTTGGTCACACAAATAAGTGTTATAAATCATTTCGAAACGGTTAAGTGTATACTTTTATTTGTGTACACTTCACAATAACAACAGAACTCCGTGCTTTTGTAAAATAAAGAAAACAAACAGGGTGCGCTCCGTCTTCTCTGTCTCCGTGAACTGCTTTTAGAAACGCGTCACTGAAATGAACTGGAACTCAGAGAATACTTCACACACAGACATGAGAAATACATCTATAGAAAGCTTGACATGTCTACGTTTAAACGAAGTATGTCTTATCGGAAACAAATATTCTGCGGTAAAGTAATCCGTATGAAATCAACGCGATGTACAGTTTTGCTGTGTGATTACGCACACAAGCTACTTTTGCTTCTGATGTTACAATAGTCCACGTGATCTAGTTGATCTCGGCTACTGTTCATTTCTGGAAGAAGACATATTGCATATTTTATAATGCCGTTTTTATGAGTAAACAGACATCCAGAAAGCAGCAGCTGGAACTGGAGCTAAAAATTATTGCAAATTTCTAATCCAGAATTCTTGGCATCTCACAATGTTTTCTCTGATGCTTTTCAAAACGTTTATTTTCCACGGCAGACGTAGAAAATCCCACACGCTGATTTCAGACCAGTGACACTGATTTTTCCTCGTTTGGTTCCACCAGTCTTAACATAAAAGTTCAAGATGGAAATGCTGTCATTATTTGCTCATCCTCATGCCATTCCTGCCTCATTATGTCTGTCTGTAGGATGGGATCACACACAGATCCACAGTATCTCGTCTGAGGTATAACCCTCCTTCAGACGCCGCCGCCGCCGCTGCTGTTGTTATTGTGATTTTATTTTCTTGCCCATTGTAAACAGCTGTAGTCACAGTCTAAAAAGACCAGAGGAAATGAAATAGCCTCTGGTTTCCATCTTGTCTGCCGTGGACCGGAACGCTTTAATTAGAGCCGGACTGCTCAAGCGCTGCTGAAAATAAAGCACAAGCAAACGTCATCTTCCTCTCTTCTCTTCGCTTTCTGTTTATGCATGAATATGAATTCTGACTGATAGCTGTTGATTGAAAACCCTGCATGCTAACAACACACAGTGCCATATTTATTCATTTTTATTGAAATATAATGCACATGCACAATGTTTTGTGTTGCTTTACTTCTTTAGTCAGTCGGGTACAAAGAAAGAGCAAATTTGAAATGTTTCTGAATTCAAGAGTTACAGAAGGCCGTTAATGAATCTTGAATCTGTGTATTTTGTCATATTCTCTTTGGGATTACAAGCGAATATAAAGCAAAAGCTAATTAGTATGAAAAACAGATTTTTCCATTAACACAAACTGCCAAAAGCAATGCACACACGCCGCTAGTGTTCGCCGTCGGCGTCTCGTTCTTGCACTGATCGGCTGGATTCGTTTGCTCTGCATTTGCTGCAGTTCTCAATGCATTTATTAATATACATGTATTAATAATGTCAACATATTGCATGTGCAAGTTGTATTTCCAAATGATAAGATCTAGAATGGAAAAATCAATTCAACTGCATCATGCTCATAGCTGACAATGCAAATTCAGATCAAATATCATCAAGTAAATCTGATTTGTTCGAAGGTTTGATTTCACACTGCAATACTTGACACCATAAACCAGATACAGAACTATTTTTGCAATTTGCATGACTAAAAGCTGCTGCACCAACATAAATATTAAATGCACAAGCCGCCAAAATATCACAAAATAATCCAAAGTAGGTTAGATATGCTTTGGATTTCATGCAGAACTTTTATCCTTGTAATGTCAAGACATTTGTAATATCAAGCTCAGATTTAACACTGCGGACGTCTCTGATATGGCAGCACTCTGCCAAAGGCCGCCTAGTTAATAGAGAGATGTTTGTAAGTGTTATGGTTCATGAAAGTGGCAATTCAGCATTAGCCTCAGTGCACAGGATGATCCTGAAGAGCGCTGCATCTCCGTAAGCATTACAGAAGAAGCACGTCTCTGGGAGACCGAACTCTTTACCTTAAGAGAGGTTAGACTGCCAGGAGTTCAGATGCTGTTTTTAAACATAGTGCATCTCATAAAGCAGCTCATGTGCTGCTTTTTCAGTTCAGCCTTACACACCTTACTCAGCTTGTTTTATTGATTATTTGCTTTTTTCATACTAAAAAAGGGTTATGAAAAAGTGAGAAGTGCTTTTGGTGCCTCGAGCGTTAAATGTTCCAATTGAAAAATAATTATATATGGGTCAGGAGCAATGGTTAATTGTTATTTTTTATTGCATTATTATTATTATTATTAAAATAATAAAAAACAATGCTATTTTATTGCCTTTATTATTATTATTATTAAATATTAAATATTTTAAAAATTATTTAATTTCATTATCACTATTAATTCAAAAATATTACAATTAAAATAATATAAAAATAAACAGTAAGATAAACAATGTTAAATTATTATTATATTAAACATTTTTGATTGAGTCTCACAATGCAACTGCACAAATAAAAATAATCATATAATAATATATGGTACAAAAAAACGGAGCTAATTTGAGGCTTATCATAGGCTGAAATTATTACATCTCTTATTCTTGAAATTGCTGCCCTCAAAAATGTCACTTTGACATCAGGTCTTCTCGTCTCCAAAGTGATTCTTCAAAATGCAAATGGAAATAAGAGCCGAGTCTGAAGCATCTCTGGACATTAGCTTCTCGAAATAAACAAACAAGTTGTCTTCAAGTTGAGCTGACTCTGAAATCCATGGCCAGACTGAGTTTTCCAGCTGTTTTACATGTATTACAGTGATACTGATAAGGACAGGCTTTATGTTGCCCTTGACCCACAGACGTTACAAGCAGAACTACCGGAGAACGCTTTTCTTTCTCTTTAATCCACTGACATTTGCTCTGGCTGGGAGGTAAAGAAATTACAGAAGAAGCATGGAAGTCTTCTGCAGGGTTGTTTCCACTAATCTATCATCTAACAGAGAGCCGAGCTGCAGTCGTGACGTCAAAACCCTGAAGACTAATCCCTGCCGACTCTCCTCTGGGGTTTAGAACGGGGGTTTTCAATTCATGAGCACAATAAGGTCTGAGAAACTTCTGTCTATAGTCTGTGTATATATGGGGTAAGAAAGCTTTTATTCAGCAAGGATGCATTATATTGATCAAAAGTGAGAGTAAACACATTTATAATGTTACAAAAGATCTCTATTTCAAATAAATGCTGCTCTTTTGAACTTTGTTCATCTGTGAATCCTGAAAAATAAAATGTATCACAGTTTCCATAAAAATATTGTGCAGCACGACTGTTTTCAACATTGGTAATAATCAGAAATGTTTCTCGAGCAGCAAATCAGCATATTATATAGCAAGATCATGTGGCACTGAAGACTGCAGTAATGATGCTGAAAATACAGCTTTGAACTCAGAAATAAATTACAGCTTAACAGAGATTCACAGAGAAAACAACCGTTTTAAATTGTACAAATATTTTACTTTTTTTACGGTATTTTGATCAAATAAATGCAGCCTTAGTGAGCAGAAGAGACGTAAAAACTATAAAATGGCCGGTAGTGTATTTAATCTGAAAAACCTTACATGCAGCGAGTGATAAAGTCACGGAGTCACGGAAACTTCTAGGAGTGAAAACCATTTTTATTTCTATATGTAATAAAAGACAGGCACAACATGTTTGCAGTAAGGCCTCTGATTATTTTGACACATTTCAAATTCCAATATATGCAATATTCAAATTACCTGACAATTTATAAAAAACAAATAGGATTTCAAAATGCAGTGGAGTTGAATGCACCATTTGGAGTTTGCTGGAGCTTCGCTGGTGTTCCACATAAATTGCTGGCTGAAGTTATTGGATTTCTGCGGAGCCGGCAGACGAGTTAGTTCTTGGGCAGGCATTAATTAGGCCGGGACGTAGCGGGTGGGAAAAGAGAGCACCGCTGACGCTTCGCCGCTGCTTTCTTAAGCTACTCACTTTCCATTAGGTCCGAGCATCTGTCCTGATGCGGCGCTGGTGTCAGACCCAATGCTCCTCCAGATGATTTCCCTTTAACACGGACGAGAAACACGCGAGGACGGGATGAGTTTATCGCTTCTGACGGCGTTTAGGAACGAGCGGGGAATGTGAAAGAAGAGCTTTAATCAATGAAGCGAAACGGCAAAATGTAAAGTTGTACTATCTGTGCGTGAAACACGTGAGTGTGAATCCCTTATGATGCTGGATCGGACGGAAGGTTTCTGCTCATGTCAATCACTGATGGTCCGGCTTCGCCCTGAAACACACACACACACACATATATTAGGTTTCTGTGAATTGTGGGGACTTTCCATAGACTGATATTACTTTTCCAAACTATATTTTCTACCCCCTGACCCTAACCCTAACCCTTACAGAAAACCTGTTTGCAATGTTACACTTTCAGATAAACATCATTTACTATTTTTTTTTTGAGGACCTCAGGCCTCAGGCCGGTCCCCACAATGTCAAACATTTCAGGTCTTACTATCCTTGTGGATACACAGTATTTGGATACACACACACACACACACACACACACACACACACATATTAGGGCTGCCCTCGACTAAGAATTCTGGTCGACTAGTAGTCGTTCATTTTAAGCATTAGTCGACTAATCGCACGTTTATTAATAAACCATTTAAATCATTATATTGAGGCTTAAATTGCCTACAAAGCCTAATAAGAGCTCAAGCCACTCATAAAGCTTGCCATAGCGCACCGCTGTGGATACACACACACACACACACACACACACACACACACACACACACACACACACACACACACTCTCTCTCTTTCTCTTTAGAAGAGCAGAATGAGCTGCATACACACACTTCTGTAGAACTTAAACCCCTGGTTTCACAGACAAGGCTTCAGGCTAGTCCCAGACTAAAATGCATGTTTGAGCTATCTCAACTGAAAATAACTTGCTCTAACATATCTTAAAATTGGTCAGTGCCATTGTTCTGTCTCAAGATGCACATCTGGAATCATGTCTCTTCAGAATTTAAGGTTATTATAGTTACATACATGAAAACATCCCTTTCAGTTACTTGAAATAAAACAAATATTAAATGGAATAAAATAAAGTATTAAAAAAAAACTTACATTTATTTCAGCTAGTTGCCAAGTCAACATTTCTCAATTTCATTTAGTTTAACTTGATGTATTAAAATAACTAAAACTAGAACTGATATAAAAACATATAGACATGGTTTTATATATATAAAAAAAAACAATAATAATAATTTATATATATATATATATATATATATATATATATATATATATATATATATATATATATA